TACAAACACAAGGCCCAGCTGCAGAGCACATTGTAGAAAATTTGTGTGCAGACTCCGCAAGCCAGCCACCAAGGCCGCATGCACCTGGCCATGACAAACGTACGCAAAAGCCAAACCACCATGGGGAGGAGACATCGCGGTACACAGCACCGAAAACACCCAAGAGAGCACCTGGACTCGTAGGACGACCCCGCATGACGGTGTACTGCATTGGAAATGTTCACCCGGACTGCGATGTGGATTCAAAAGTTGAACACTGCAAGGCACAAGGTGTATCTGTAGTACAAAGCGTCGTGTACACCTCCGTGCACTTTAGAACAGCCTCTGCTCGTATTACAGTCTTGGTCACGGACGCCAAGAAGGTCGCGGAAGAATCGTTCTGGCCTGACGAAGTTGGCCGTACTGTAAGAGAGTGGCGATTTGGTACAGAGGCCTGGGTTCCCAAACCCGTTAAAGCATAATGGCTCAAACCACCGACCCACTCCCCTTGAACCCGCATGCTCAACACACCCATCGGATCAGCATGAACCTTAATCCACACGCCGCCCCGTTTAACCCACACACCCACCACCTGGACCAGCACAGTAGTACACTTAACAGTGGCCACATCAAAATAGTATAATTATTACGCAGTCTACGCCACAAACTGTGTGAAGTTGAAAGTATAATGATAGAACAGCAGCTGGATATACTAGCCGTATCCAAGACCTGGCTAGATAACAGTGTCTCTGACCTGGAAGTGCATATCCGTAGTCAGCTGAAAGTATTTGAGGCTGTTTGTATTCGTTTGCTTAAGCCTGATTTTTGTAAGCAGAAAAACGTGTAGTTGCGTTAAGATTGTTTTCGTAGGTGCACAGCATGATTGTTTGCCTCACTACACAGTTTTAGCGTTAAAATTAGTTTCTCACCCGCCGTTGCACTTGGCTCTCACTTCACTTCTATTGTCTCACCCTCCCTCATTCTATTTTAGCACTTTATTTTGTTCTCGTAACACATTATTGAATGTATTTTTAATCATTGTTCAGCATGGTTACTCTTCAGTCACGACTTTCCACTGATGAATGTGACAAGAAAATTAGTTTTTGGTAAACTTTTATGCCTTCGTTGTAGTTTGGCGATGACAGCAGAATTGTTCTCTTTATTGCTATTATAAAGTTGTGTTTCTCCACGTCGATTATTTAAAATAAAATAAATAAAAAATAATACAAGAGGCACGTTTTAATAAATTATTTCACTCAATTCGTGGTCCATGACTAATAGACCGATCCCCTTATTATTGTCTGGGTTCGAGCAAGGGGGCAACTCCGCAGTCGCGTGGGATCCTGCTGCACACACGCGACCAACCTCACCTTGGCTGTGCGCGACTTCTCGCATGCGAAGTGCAGAGCACGCGAAATCTACATGCAGTGCAAGCCTGTCTACAAAAAATGTCACAAGGACTTTTGATTTGAGCTGTTTTGTTTTTGTTTAGACGTCTTCCTTTTTTCGACTTCAGGATGCCTTCTCAGGATCATTCCTGCGTTCCTCACTGTCAGAACAGGAGGACGAAGCAAACAAGTCATTTCACTCCTTTCCTCGTGTGGAGCCACAGCGGCCTGGAGCGAGCGGATCCAGGCTATGCCCCGTGAGGAAGGACGTAGGTTTAGGGTCACTCTGAATATTTGAGTTGCAGCGATCATTTCGATCCCGAAATCGAAATCGTTTTTCCCAGCTCTACAAGGGCAGGATGAGTCCAGGAACCCAAACAGCTGTCCTACGGTACCAGGTTTGCTTTTCGCAAGAGAGTGGAGTCTGGACGCCCTGCTCCCCATGCTCGCAAACAGTATTTGCTGAGCCTAATGCAGTTCGGTCATGGAATTGCAGCGTCTGCATCACGAGCTCCCCATGCTCCCAAACCAGTATTTTGCTGAGAGGCAACGGTACTTTGGAGTTGGAAAGGATTCTGGCTTAGTGCAGTTTGGTACTGTAATGGAAGTGCAGCATCTGCATCAGGAGCTGGCAGCAAGTAGAGCTCGTGTACAGAGTCTCGTGGAGCAGTAGGACGATGTGAGGACTGGGGTGAAGAAAGCCGAAAAACAGCTTACGTACAATAACGTAAAGAAAGACTCTGAGCCGCTCCAGTTTCTGACTGGTTTGCCTTCAGGTGTTTGGACCGCTCTGTGGGACTTCTTTGAGCCTAGCCGAGAAAATGTACTGCGCCGCGCCATATCTGCGAAGACGGAAGCTGAGGGACGGCGGATACAGATGGAGGTGGCCTTAAATCGCCAATGAGCATGTAATGGAGGATCAGCTGCTATTGACGTGTCTAAGCCTGGGCCGAATGGAACAGAAGCTGGCATGCGTGGCACAAGTTAATAATCCGTTTCACGGCATATAGCTAGCTGAGCTGGAAAGATGTCTTGTTCCTCCGTTTGGGCATGATCCCCATTTGGGCGAGCTGGCGAGATGTTCAGTCATCAATGCCATGTACCGCAAGACATACTGCATTGTGGATGAAACAGTTCTATTTTGCCATGCACTTAGGGTTCTCGCACCGGCACGGCAAAACAAGACCCAACAGATCCTTGCGCTGTTATTTTCTCCCATGGTAACTTGGCTGATCACAACACCCGGTAGCCAGTCGCAGATGCAACCAAATCAACCAGGTTCTCTTACTCTTTTTTTTCCAATACTGAAACCAAGGTATACCAATATTTGCATCGAATGCAGTGATGATTTCAATACTGTCCACCAGTACAACGCATTACCAGACTGGCATATAATCATGATAATATTATCCATTTCGCAATCACTGTCATTGCTTTCTTAGATCTCCAATCATCAATATCGGACCATAAACCGTCTATCATCTTATATTATATCATCATTAATATCCTGCTACTATCCTCCTCTAATGATGAGCTCGAAGAAACGAAACAGCTGTCTAGAGGCGTAAACAATATCAGACATTGTTTACTTGTTATTCTGTCAACGGAAGTGTCCTTGCTGTGCTGGTGTGTTTATGCTTCGTGCATTAGTTCGGCCAAGAGCGCATGGTGGTGGCGGGTTGAGGATGGAGTACAGCGGAGAATGACCGAGAGCTCTGTCACAATGTATTTTATTAGGAAGGTATAGAAACAGAAAAAAAACTATCTTGATCTTGGGCGGAAACAGCCCGTCTCACATTAAATATACTAGAAAATAGTTTACTCTGAACATGCAGTCTTCCTAAGAGAGAGAGAGACGGGGGGGGGGTATATTCATAGGTTCGAAAGAACCGCACACACACTTTGCTGCAGAGAGCGGCAAGCTTTGGCCCTCGTACTTCGAAGAGGGAGCAATCCAATGCGCTACGCTTGCGATTAACAGCAAGCTTTGACCTTACAAAGGTACGGCTCATCACTGGCTCTGGGGTAATGTTCCTGGAACAAATTCCCCATTGCCGACTGAGGGCCAGGGAGCACGCAATCTGCCTTCCCGGGCGAGAAGTGTTCCAGCACAAGAAGCAGCACGAATACATGCTGACAAAGACCACCATCACCACCAGCCGGCACACAGCACATTGTTCTTCAAACACCATCCACTCCGTCCATGTCTTTGCACTGTCCTCCTCTAGCTCTTCACGCTCAACAAATACCACGCACTGCTCATCGTTTTATTTAATGCTTCCTCTGCGTTGGCTAGCCCTTAGACTTGACAAAACAGCGATCACCACTGCTATCGTCACCACATAGCAGTCGCTTCCACCAGTGGCTTTTCCTGTCTTTGCAAGGTGTCCAAGGATGGCTGCTGTTGTCACTACAGGCAAATCAGAAGTACTTTAGTGGCTGATGTCCAACCAGATCGTTGGAAAATCGATTTTTCCGCTTCAGGGCTGCTGATCACGATCGCGACTTGGTGACTTGGCAGCACCATGGTTACCTTCAGAGAAAATGGCCCTGGAGAGGAAAAGGCAGACCAGAAAAAGGTTACTATTATCTTCAGCACCGATCTCAAGGAGAAAGGAATACGGTCTGCTGTAGCCTAGGCACAAAATAAGTCTCACAACACGATTCGCGATTCGAATATTTCAACAACAACAAAAACTCACCTCTGGAGTAACTACTGTTTGTGGCCCGAGATCGTTCCCTCCCGCGCCTTGAAAAAATCCTGCAGCTGCATCACAGTCCATGTCTCTCTCGGAGACTCTGCTCCTACCAGCAGCAGGTTTAGCACCGCTCGAAGCCATCGCAAACTACTTGAACTAAGCAGAAGACATTCCAAAACAAACCTGAAACACACTGTCAAAGATGCTGTCACGTTCAAAAACTAGCTCGATCGCGAGTGAGGTTGCCCCCGTGCTCGAACCCAGTATAATAAGGAGATCGGTCTATTGGCAGGCAAAGTGCGAGAGAGGGGTGATAGCCAACCATGGCAAGAAAAGAAAAGAATAAGGAAGAATTCAACTCGGATGGTGAGCCTATTAAATTATGGTGAAAAAGGAGAAGGAAAAAATGTTACGAATTTTGACTAACTGTCCATCAACGTGACCAGATCTTATAAGGTCAGCGATTGCAACAAAATTGCACAAAACTGACAAGGATTACTGGGACATTCGGAGACCTGACACCTAGCTCCAACACTTCTCCAAGTATTTCGACTCCGCCATATCGCTGATGCATCATGCATGCTATACGCTATATGCGCTGCGTGCGATTTACTGTATACGCTGTCATTTGCATGCTTTACATATCTGGTCGTCTTAGACTGAGTTATTATGTTCGATCAAGTGAAGTATACCGTTAAGAAAAAGCAGTTGTTCTCGTGCCGTGTGCTCTTTCGTTCCTGACACTTACGAGAATCAGAGGCTTCATAACAAAGCATTTCACACACAGCGTCTACAACTGTTTCCTTCAATCAGTGCAGCAGATAATAATACTCACTTATATCGAGGTTTGTTCATCACGTATCCAGCAGTACTCTATATACACACCGTTATACAACTGTTCCCTGCGTTCAGTGGTGCAGTTGATAATACTTACAGTGTTTGGAGGTTTGTTAGACCAGAGAACACACCGTCACTTAAATTCTGGATCTGATTATTGAACAAATATCTACGAACGACACAGGACAAAGACAATGTTTTTCTTTCTTAGTTCCTGGTAGTGCACAAAACACCGAGTCTGGGATATCGTAGTTCTAATCTAAAAGGCCGAATCATGACCTTGTTTACAGAAATAACCTAGGCTCCTAACCACAACATGATTCATATGCAATTGGGTTAGGTACTGGCCAACCAAACAATTCTCTATACCTTGACAAGACATGCAGAATCCCTGGATTTCTCTAAAAATCCCTGAATGGCTCGAAAAGAAGACAAAAAGCGGTTTTGCTGCCAAAAAAATGTTCGACAGCATAGACTGCAGGTCTGCTTACAGCACGGTTCGACTCTGCAGTGCGGCTCGATCATTTGGCGCCCGCGCCTGCCAGTGCAGATCTTGCAGGCTAGGCTGGTCAGGTCTTGAAAGTGCCATGCACAGTTCGAAGTGCAAGTGGGCACCGTAGTTTTTGAAGAAGAAAGAACGGGACATTCGAGGTGAATCCATGCAGCGTTCAGGAACATTCTGTATCAGACAAAAATGGAACTTTACTGGGAGTTTGTTTCAAATCAATCAGAACAATATCAAGCCTTCGGGGCTCAATGAAGCGATCCCACCAGATGGTGAAATCCCACAGAATCTTGATCTTCTGGTCCTGCGGAGATGTTGGCGTCTGAAGTATCTCTAGCTTCAGGCACGTTACCCGCGGGTGCACGATGCTCTTGGACCGGCCACAGTGGTGGTTGTAGTACTCGTCTTCACAATGCAAGTCGCAACTCCTGTACACGCAGAGGCCAGCCGATAATGGTGCTCCAAGTAATCCCATCCAGCGAGCTTTGAACACTCGCATAGGATATGGGTAACCGACTCGCCTTCCTTTCCACACATTCGAGACAGGGGTCTTCTGCTCTGATGGAAGATTTGGGCCTTGAGCAGGTTAGTTGCCAAGGCCTGGTGTTGTGTCGCGATGATCAGGCTCTCTGTGATCTTCTTGAGACTTGCGACTGATGTACATACCGGCTACATCAGCGTGTGGATCGAGAGCTCTATGCATAGTCATAAGCTTGCGCCTTCTTCGGTCAGCAGATTTCAACTCGTCCTATGTCCATGCCAATATACCAGCACTATACCATATCAAAGCCACAGCCCAGGTGTTGATTGCTCTGATGGTGTTGTGGCCGTTAAGAGCTGAACGGAGTAGTCGTATGAGGCAGGTGACGAACAGCAGTGGGAATATGGAGACCCCTCGAAATACCCATGCTGAATGGCCGCCAATTTCAGGTTGTTGGTGCCGTTCCAACGGTCAACCTTCCACTGAGCCATGCTTACAGTCATAAGTCTGCGTACGGATTCTTGTATGCTAAACAGGTCTTTTATTTTTTACGATTAGACCATATATGACATCAGCCACTGGAGCCTACATAATATGAGCCAGAGCAAGCCAAAATATGACCACAGACCAGAAATTCGATTTTCAGTTTTTTGTTAAAAAATGATCCAACACACCTAATGTTCACTGTCTGAAAGTTTTGGATTGATCCGAAATGTCTAAGTGTTGCTACAATGGTATTATATGCAGCACTGTTGAAATGGTGAAATTCTATGTACAGCAATGGGATTGTCATTTTTGCACACAATTGATATGCCCCTTGGTTCATCCTTTCCGGGTCAGTTCCTCTGTCCAGGGTCTTATAGCATGAGCTGACAACTACTCAGCCACATCCAAATTGTCTATAGGCAGCTGAGCTGGGTGTCCGGAATACCTCCTGTTTGGAGCACCACTGGAGAACCGCCAGCGAAAACACGGTCAACATCTGTGAGATGGCCGAAGAAGTTGGCACTCCATGTCCTCTCCATCACACTCCACCTGTACTTTCAGATATACAGTATACACTGCTGCACACATTGTTCGTCAACATACTAGACGTCGCACTCATATTCCCCACACTAAAGCCCATCTGCACACGGTTTTCTCCGCTCGCCAGAGAGTACTGCTTTCGTTGCATACTGCTCATGCTAGCGATGTTCCGCATAAGGGTACTTAACTTATCGACTTGAGCAAGTTGAGGGAGGACAGGGTCCAGTGATTGTTTTTGCACTTGCAACCAATACTGGCATTGTCCCGGATATGTGCAGCGATGTCCATTCTGGCCAAATCATCGGCCGACTCACCTCCCAAGTCAGTGTCGATGCCAATCGCTTGCCAGGTTGTCATCAGAGTAGAATTCCTCGTCACAGCAGATCGTGGGACTACCAGCATCAATTCTTTTTACGCTCGATGAAAGTGTCGCCCTCAAATGACTCGTCGCTGTATCCATCATCGTCTTCCTTCTGTTTTTGACTCGAATCCCCAAAACATTTTATCCTGCGCATGGAGTGCGATGATATGTCGTCTTCTTCCGCTCCGCAGTACATTACTACTACTACGCTCTTCTGTCGATACATTGAGGACGATCAGTTTTAGGCGACTCAGCGCAACGTGGAATACAAACTCTAACAAATAAACTTACTTGCAACAGAAAATTGCATCCGGAACAGTCCAGTCGACCGAGGAGAACAACAACAGCAACTCGCGTTGCACTGCACTTCGTATTTTTTGCCGCGGAATTCAAATCGCGATTATCTCGACTTTTTCAAAAAAAGCTGTGGTCATGTTTTAGCGCGCTCGGGCTCATATTATGACATCAGACACTGGACTCTACATATATTATGACATCAGACACTGGACTCTACATATATTATGACATCAGGCACTGGACTCTACATATATTATTACATCAGACACTGGAGCCTACATATATTATGACATCAGACACTGGACTTCACATATTGTTGTGAAACGACAAGTTCTCGAGAGTGAAAGGCCTTCTCGCTTGTGACATTGTGTTCGTTTCAATGCAGCTGTTCCCGACTCCGCCGTACCGCTGATGTTTACGACGTGGCATACGCTACAGGCGCTATGTGCGGTTTGCTGTGTGCGCTGTAGTTGTATGTTGTATGTGTATGCTTTTCTCATATACGCTGTCATTTTCATGCTATAACTACCTGGTGGTTTTAGTGTTAGTTATTCAGTTGTTCATTCATTCATTCAATCATTCATTGTTGTTAGTCGATGGAAGTGAAATATTATTATTATTATTATTATTATTTTGCTTGTTCGCGTTGGCATCAACCTGCATAAAGCAGGTATATAGCCTTCGCTTAAGCTGCCATAAAAAAGAAAGCTCATCCTAAGCGAGAGGGCTAGAGGAAAAGATAACGATAACGAGATACAGAATACAAAGAAATACAATGAGTTAAACATACGTACGTAGTTCAAAACAAAACAGAGCAGAGCCGAAGTTACTAATCGGAGTGACGAATGCGTTGGTTCCGATTGATCCATCAATCGACAAAGGGACTAATCCGTTAATATTGCAAAGTAGAAACCGATTGCAGTTGCAGATCTCCAGGCCAGGGCCAGCATATTGCCGATTCTGGATAGGTCTCTGCAGCATTTGATGTGGTAATTATTATCATAATTAGTGATAAAATTGTTAGAGTATCTAGTATCTAGAGTATTTAGTACCTAGAGTATCTAGTGTAATTGTATCCGATATTATTGTTAGAGTATCTAGTGTAATTGTATAACTTCAGCCACTACACACAGCACACATTAGTTCCTTCCACTTTCGACGATCCTGGGCAAGCTGCCTCAGTGCAACTAGATCCTCGTGTGATGTGAGGGAGTTTGTGGATCTGGAATTTTTCAGGTCGTTGTTGATAGATCGCGGGAGGGTTGTTCTCGGGCGGCCTCGGAACCCTGAGCTTCCTGGTTGAAAAGTATGCTGACATAGCCTGCTGGACCGGGGATGAGGTGTCTAGTCGAAGCATGTGGCCAAGCATTCTCCACCTAGCAGACTGGATGATTCTGCTGAGTGAAATATACTGTTGAGAATAAATAGTTTGTCCTTGTGCCGTGTGGGGTCGTTCGTTCCTGACACTTTAGAGAACCAGAGGGTTCACAACATTTGGCGACCACGCCAGGATACGAAGCAAGCATGGCACAGGAACTATGGATCATTGAAGCCAGCTTTATCGCTAACGGAATTCGGTATGGATTTGAAGGCGATAGGTTGCGAGAATACGTGGAGAAGAGGCTCCGACAGAGCGAGGAGTTTGAAGAGCGCAGTGCTAGACGGCAAGAGGGTGCGCTCCGCACAGAGTTTAACGAAAAGCTCAAGAAGATTAACGAGCGCATCGCCAGCAGTAAATATGAGGGAGCAAAGCGAGATTTTCCGGAAGGACGCCGGACAAGGCGTGGAAGACTTTGCTTAAAGACAAGCAGCGGTCAGAAGAGTATTTGAAGCCAGTGAGAGGATCGGATCCACAGCCCACTGCGTCGGTACAGTGCATGGCGACATCGGTCGGAGACGCTCAGAAGCAGCTGGAGTCTCGGCCGAACGAAGTAGACGCGCAAGACGTAGAAGCGCAAGACATAGAAGCGCAAGACGTAGAGGCGCAAGACGCAGAGGCGCAAGACGTAGAGACGCAAGACGTAGAGGCGCAAGACGTAGAGGCGCAAGAGTTAGAGGCGCAAGAGTTAGAGGCGCAAGAGTTAGAGGCGCAAGAGTTAGAGGCGCAAGAGTTAGAGGCGCAAGAGTTAGAGGCGCGAGACTTAGAAGCGCAAGGCGTAGAAGCCGAGAAAATGAGAAGGGCGATACTGGTTAGCACGGAAGAAGTAAGCGGCGAGACTGTGTGGAACACGGAGATCGAATGTAGGTTATCTGGTCCAGCGTCCGCCCCACGACGCAGTGGCCCAGTGACTGTGTTGTGTGTGACAGCCCAGATCGGCACGCTTGGTGTTGAGACTGTTGAGGTGAAGCCGTTCGGTGCGGAATCAAGCCAACAGCGGATGGACAAGTTCGCCATCATGATCCTGGGTAGCTCCGCAGTCATTCCGGTATGTGCTCTGGTGAAGCCAACGTTAGAGCTTCATCTGAAGTGCGCAAACCCGCAGACCATTGCTCAATTGG